ACATTGCTGCGAACGGGACCGTGAAAACACCCCTGGCGGTTCCCTTTGGAGGTGCTGAAACCATCGCCCCGCCTGAGACATCCTGACAATCTGCTGTGTTGAATACGTCAGGCAATGAGAAGGTCTGAGTATGTGTAGGTCTGAGTAGGAGTAAGTCTGTGTATGAGTACGTCTGGGAACGAGTCTGAGTGAGTCTGAGCATGAATGTCTGGCTATTAGTAAGTTTGTGTATGAGTACATCTGGGTATGAGTATATCTGAGCATGAGTAAGTCCAAGTGGGAGGAAACGAGCTGTACTGCAAAGAATGTACACGAGTACGAGTGGGTATGACTATGACTGGGTATGGATTTGAATGGGTGTGAGCTTACGGTGTCATGAAGAAGTCTGATAATGATTAGGCCTGGGTATGAGTAAGCCTGTGTATGAGTAAGTCTGGGTATGAGGAGGACGAGAAGGAGGAGGAGAAGAGGAGAAAGGAGTAGGAGGCGTCCAAGTAATAACAAGAACCTCATCTTAGGATGGGGTGAACAATTACACAGGCACCCGAGTACAAAGTACTAGGACTCGAGGTCCAATCGCCCCAGAGGTAGATGGGAAGGCTCAAAGGAAAACTCGGGAGAGGCTTAGGGGCCCGGGGGAGACCAAAACATAATCTAATCAGGTGGAAACTACCATGACCAAGCGCGTCTACAGCTTTCTCACTCAGCCTCTCCCCCGTCTTTTCCAACTCCTCGTTCCAGGCAGGCAAGCCCCGAGCATTGTCCAACTCCAACAGATTCGAACATGCACCCATGAGATGTCCCAGGTCACCCACAACAGCTCGCTGCTGACATCGAGGATGTGGGCGCAAGGGTGATTGAATCCATCCACGATTGTGCTGCTTCTGCACAGTCATAAGTCCACCAGACGATAAGCAACGAAGAGCACCGGTCCCCTGTGGAGAAATAGTGGCAGCCTGCTTCCAGTATTTAAAAGTGATGCTCGCATCCACACCTGTTCTCCTCCTTCACAATGATTTACCTGATGCTCTAGATTCCGTCTGCCTTGCCAGCGTCGCACTCCATCTCCGAGCAACCTCCGAAAACCTTTGGGGGCGACTTGCATGACATTGCAGCACCGCCCATCACCGCTGAGCAACACCTCGCTGCTTAGCATGTCCCGTCCCGCTCTGCGCAGCGAGAGCCTGGGCCACGCGCGCCTTGCCAAGACGGGGACACCGTCTCCCACTTCTGCTGCAGGACTCGCCACGCTCGTTCGATCCTGGCCACCTCCAACCTCAAATCCCACGTGAAACTGGTATACGCCGTCACGATGTTCAGAGTGGCGTCGAATATGGGATCCATCCATGGGTCCTTCTGCGTCGCTAAATAAGCCGTAAGGCTGCGACCCTTGGAATGAACTCCAGCAAGAACACCTGTCGTTTGCCGCAGCATCCGTAGATCAGCACCAGGCACCCCAGACTCATAGCTCCCATGCGCAGCTGCCGACAAGGGCCCAGTGCGCCACATATCACACGTCCTAGTTCCTGCCATCTTCTGCAACATGCGAACTCGTCCCATTCGCTTGTTGAAATTGTGCCGTTTACCGTTCACAGCTGTTCTGATCGCGCGGCCAACGACCATATCATGCCTCAGATTACGCAACTGCTTCCCCTGGGATAGACGCAGCACTATGGCCCGCGGGAGAAACTTCTTGCTGACTTCTCTGGTTGTTGCCACGAAGCCAGACTTCGCAGGCTGGACCGTAAGACCAAGCTGGCGCATACCACTCTTGAGCTCTCTCGTGGCCTTAACCAGCTCGGTCACCTCGCTGAGATCCTGCCCAACCCATTGAATGGTGCCATCGTCAACCAGCGCCCGTGGTGACACCTCAGGACACATGTGCTGCGCTCGAAGAAGCGTGCGGACCATGAGCACAATCAAAAGAGTAGTAGCGTTGGTACATCCAGGCAATCTACCCTGCTCCACAGTAGTGAACTTCGACAGCGGTCCACCGGCCTTCGCAGCCCTAGGCGCTCGGTAAGAAGCGACCAACTGCCAAAGCAACTTCAATTGATACCCCACTGCCCGTGCCTCCTGGCAATGGCTGCAGATCTTTACCGCGCCGAAGCATTTCCACATATCCATCATCGCTGTCGCGGAGTGTGCACCCAGCAGCCTGGGTTCCTCAGCCATAGCGTTGTGCGTGAACGCCGAGACCGAGTAAGTATAACCTGGCCGCTTGCCCCGCGCCATCTCAGACGGGAATCTCTTTAGCCGCTCACGACGCAGCGGCCTTCTAACTCGCGGCCAAATCCGCACAATGGTGTGTGTGCGGGCCACCAACCTGGCACCGCCTCCATACTTGAGAATCCTTGCTGTTTCCGGATAAATGCGCTGAGATGGCCAAGCCAGCAGCTTCTCAGACTTCATGAAGCAGGCCGCCGCAGCCATCGGCGCCTCCGTGGACAGAAACCACAGCGAACGGGGCTGCAAATAGGAAGGCCCAACCGCCGTCTTCCACTTGAAAGTTAGGACCACTCCCCTCAGCATCGCAACAGAAATGTGCGGCAGCAAATCAATCCCACTGGTAATGATCCACTGGTAGAATTGGGGCCTCATCTCCATGATTATTCCACGCATTTTGCCGCGCTTCTAACTCGCGATCAGCGAGCTCGTGGGGGGATTGCTCAGCACCTGCCGCCGTGATTTCGTGAACAGCCTGAATTCGCGTAGACCTATGTGCACCGCTGGCTTCTCTCTCGAAGGACTGATCCATCCACTTTTTCCTCCTAGCGCGATTCGTTCGATGAACTCAGCCTGCTGCTCCTCGCGCAACTTAGCTAGCCACCATGCGCTCCGGGTCATCACGCGTCAATAACCAGAAGCAGGACCCAGACGTGAAGAGGTCGGCCACCCGACTCGGCAAAGCCTTCATCGTCTGATTACACTGTCGAACTCCATGCGCAAAACTCCGGACTCCACCAGCACTGTCGCCGGGGGAAGCAGATCACTGCCAACTGCCCGCACGCGCCCTCCAGTCCCCCAAATCAACAGCTTGTCGATGAGCTTGGAGACATGGGCGCGTGCTCTATCGCATTGCGCGCCCCGCTTCCGAGCCCGGACAGAGCGCGACATGGCAAACCGCACTGCGTCCTCGCATCAGTAGGGCGCCGCCTGGTCTGCTAAACTTCCATCGCGATGTCCTCCTCGCCCAGACGTCGCAGGAGCCTTATCGCCCTCGACGCAATCGTGCGTGCCTTGCAGCTCAAATTCAATACCGCCAGATAGAGAACCCCAAGCAACTGCGAGATCCTCCGCGTTCTTGGCAGAAAAAACTCGTCGCTCGACCCTGCTCCAATTCGCGGGGAAGCGCGCGTCCAATGGGAGGTGTCTTAACGAGAGGCATGGGCTTAACCGCCATCTTCGCCCGAGACTGCCTGCCCCAACCAGCGCTGGAAGCCCCGCAGGCAAATGTGCCGTGATGTTGCTATCATCGATCACCGCGGCCCTTCGCACTCGCGTGACCAGATTGCACCATATCAGCACATAGTCAATGATGCCACCTGGAACTTCAGCATAGCACGCGGGCCGCGCAGGTTCAGCAGTGAAACCGCCCGCGCCGTTAGCCCATCCATCAGGCAAGCTCTGTTGGGCGGCATATTCCAACCCCCCATCGCGATCAAATCCCTGCCGATCCCATCGAGCTCGGCGAGATACCTGTCAAGGGTCGCAAGCAAGGCCACACTATCGACGCTGAGCCCTTCTCCAGAGATGAGGTAGACCGACGCAGCCACCGCTCCACTCGGCACAAACCAAGCCACATCAACAGCAACGATCCTCCCAGGATGTATGAATGGCTGTCTCTCGCAGGGGGAGCCTTCGCCATAATGTCGAAGGCGCCGGCGCCGCAACCCCGCCAGACCGCCCTTGCGCGTCCGCCCCGATTGCGCCTGCAAACGAACCGTGGAAGCCGAGATCCTTGATGTGTGCCTGCAAGGGCGGCAACTGTCTGCCGAGGGTCTCATGCTCCTGGATGAGCACAATCTGCGACCGACAGCTTCCATGCGTAATTTGAAAGGCTCAGCGCCCTCCGCGTTGGCCGTCAGAGAAAAAACACCCTTCAACTTGAGGTCGACTGGCGTCGGCGCATCCTGCTGTTCTGGCGCCGCCGCGACCATTGAGCCAGTGGCGCAGGGGGGGCCTGTCGCCGTCGTAGTCTATTAAGCCCAAAGAATTCGTCATCGTCGAAATCCGCGGGCACTTCAAAATAAGGCACAAGAGAAGCTCCAGCGCACGATCACCCCCCATCGGAATGCGCATCGATGGCCATGGGGGCAATAGAGGAAGGTCCGCGCACGATCTCCCCCCATCGGAATGCACATCAATGGCCATGGGAGCAACGAGGGAAGCCCCAGCACGCGATCCCCCCCCATCGGAATGCACATCAGCGGCCATGGGAGCAACGAAGGAGGACCCAGCGCGCGATCCTCCCACGGCGGGTGGGCCATGACCTTTCTTTCCCAATTGTTTTGGTGGGAACGAAAAGGGGGCCCTGCGCGCGATGTCGCCCCTCGGAATGCGCATCGGTGGCCATGGGGGGTCATGGAGGAGGATCCAGCACGCGATCCTCCCACGGCGGGTGGGCCATGACCTTCCCAATTCTTTTGGTGGGAACGAAAGGAAGACCCAGCGCGCGATCTCCCTCCATTGGAATGCACGTCGATGGCCATGGGGGCCATGAGGGAGGACCCAGCACGCGATCTCCCCCCCCCCCCCCCCCCCCCCATCGGAATGCACATCAATGGCCATGGGAGCAACGAGGGAAGCCCCAGCACGCGATCCCCCACCCCACCCCACCCACACCGGAATGCGCATCGATGGCCATGGGAGCAGCGCTCGGCGCTGCCACGCTAGGAAACGTCAATTCCATAGGGGGCCTGTACGACCATGAGTCGCTGTCGGGAATTGCTAAAGAGAGGGATCTTTGCCAGCTTAGCAGCAGCACAGCGCAGACCCTCCGAGTCCGCAGGCAGATGCTGCGCCACGTCCGTCGGCCAGACCGCCTCGAGGGACGCGCGCAGGACCTCCTCCTTGGCGTCCTCGACGATGGCTTCCATGCTGATCTCTGCTGCGCCGGGGCGGCAGCGGGCTGCGGAGCCCCTGCCCCCCCCGCCCGAGTCGGCGGAGGGGTGGGCGCCCTTCTCCTGCTTTGGCGCGACGTTCGGGGCCAGCAGGGCCTGCATATCCTTGGCCAGCGTGCGCGCCAGCGCGCCAGACTGCCCCCCCGAGCCCTGCTGCTCCAGGAACTTGCCCATCGCCTCCACATCAAGCTGCAGGTTGAGCCCTTTCTCGGGGAGCTTCGCCGCCTCAGGCGTCTGTGGATCCGCCGATGTCAACGCCTGCGCTTGCGCACTGAGTGCCGCCATTTCCTTCTGCTGCTCCCCCAAAGTCGCTTTGGCCTCCTGGAGGCTCTTCTGGACCTCGGCGAACTGCTCCTGCCGGGCTTGCGCAAGCTCCCTCGAGACCTCCGCGCGCTTCGCCGCGGCCTTGAGCCTGTTCGGCAACGTCTGCAACTTCGCGTACATGGGCCGTGAGGCCTGTAACGTACCATCGATATCTTCCTTCTCCGTCTGCAAGGTTTCAGCATGCGCCGTAGCCGTAGCCTTGGCTTCGCCAGCTGCACTGAACTTCTACACGAGGGCCAGCTGCTTCCCGATTCCCTTGGGCCTTCCCCGCAACTACACCTCCTCCTCCTCCTCCTCCTCCTTGCTATGCGTGCCTTCATCAATGAGCATCGCCCCGTCCGCACCAGCGGTCGGAGACGCCCGAAGCTTGTCGCCATGCAGCTGCAGCTGACGGACCTGCGCCTCGAACTCCTTGATATTGGCCTGGGCAGCCTGCCCGGCTTCCCTCCACGGCGGCGTCGGCGTGGGCGGCTTGGCGCTGACCGAAGGGGCCCCTTGCTTCGTAGCATTGCACTTGAAACCCACCTGTTTGGCCAGCCCGCACACCGCACACTTCTTCGCGTGAACCATATTCCACCACGGCTTCCCCGTCCGATCGTTGGTGCAGGACTTGCAGAACCAACGGCTAGCTTGCTCATGTCGCGTGCCCATCGCCGGCCTGAGACGGGGAGATCTGCTCCAGCAGGAGCTCACTGGATGCTCGAGCCGCCTTGGCAGGCTGACCCAAGCGGTCGTTAAAGACTGTCGGGCGCAAGGCCCTGGCACTGCCGCGGACTAGCGGTATCAACTGTGTTCAGTGCGAACATCAAAACCTTGAGCCAAAATGGCTTGAACCAAAATGGCTACTGAGCGCCGAGCGAAGGGGGACGTGAGAAGAAACGGCCCTCTCAGAAGGCGGATGAGCTTCTCAGAGCCCTCGCGCCTTCAGGGGAATTCTCTGTATATTCGGGGGAGGCTTAGAACACATCTCAAAAGGCTGGGGGACTTCCGAACGTTCTGAGCAGGCCCTTCTCGCTTCCGCTCCTCGCTCGCCGCCGAATGCAGCATGCCGGCGCGTGACCAAGGCGAGGGCTTCTGCAAATGACAATCAGTGAACGCCCCCAAGAGAGCCCGAAGAAACCCAATATGATATGTGGCTTCAAATGATGGCCCGGCTGGCCCAGGCGACCTGCTGGGTCTTCGCCAAAATCAGAGCATCGATGACCCCCTGAACGCGCAAGTTGTGGCTCACTGGTGTAGAAAGCTTTTGGCGCCGTCTCGGGCTGTCTTCGGCGACGGCGTCGTCATCTTTGGCAGCGTCGTGTGTGACGATGGCGGCGATTCCTAGGAGGCAACAGCAGGCGCCTGGAGGTCACACGAGGCTGAGGGAAACAGCAGGAGACCCCAGGACGACTCAGAGGCCCCAGAAGGCCGCAGGGGGCCGCAGAAGGCTCCAGGAGGCCGCAGGACATCTCAGATGCCCAAGAAAGCTCCAGCAAGCCTCAGCAAGACTTAGGGGCCCCATGAGGCCCCAGGACGACCCCAGAGGTTCCAGAAAACCCGAAGAAGTAACGCGATGCCCCAGGAGACTCAGGAGACAGCCCTGCGAGGCTCCAGAAGGCCATCAGGGGGTATCCCTTCCTGGTCGCTCCGATGGGAGAGAGGAGGATCAAGGTCAGGGAGAGGGAGGGAGGAGGGGGGAGGGGGGGAGCAATGGGGGAGGAAGGGGAGGGAGGGGGAGGGGGAAGGAAGGGCGGGCGGAAAAGGGGAGAGGCGAGGGGGAATGGGGAGAGGGCGCAGGAGACGAGAGGTTGTAGGTGGGTGGGGGAGGGAGGCAGGGGCAGGGGAATCATGACAATGAGGGCGAGGAAGACGCGAGACCGACACTGTGCTCCGTTTTGCGCCTCACCCTCAGCGGCGACGAGACCTCTCTGCGAAGGAACGCGGCCAGCCCCTCGGTGCCGGTGACGGCCGCTCACGACGGTTTGCCGCCGCAGGCCCGCGCCTCCAACGCCGCCACCTTCCACTCCAACTCGCCCGCGAAATCGCCGCAGCCCATCTCTGAGTGGGCGCCTGCCTGCTCTGTGTGAGCGGCGAAGAATGGGGCCTCACGCGCGAGCGGGACACTTCGACCTCGCGCGACAGTCTACGCATGCCGCTCACGCCCCACACCGCGCGGAGAGGGGGGCGTCTGACACGCGACCCGAGATGTGCACGCAGGCAACTCACGCGCGAGTGCCCGCGCCGTCCGCCCGACTCTCTCCCCTCTCCCGCGCCTCGTTATCGGGTGTTGCCAGAAGTGCCCCTGGTGCGAGGTGTCCTCAGGATTTCCAAGGAGGCCCCCATGGCGAGGCCCAGGGGGCCCCCAGGGGCTCCAAGCTGGATCGAAAAGCTGGGGGCACTTGGGGCCAGGGGCACCTTCAACAACCCCCGACGTTGGCGCACCGCCCACCGATGGGGACCACCACGGCCCGCCCCCATCAGGCCTCGCCCAGCCGCCGCCTCGGAGCCGAGGCAGTCGAGGGGCCGAGCCCGTCGCCAGGCCGATCCCAAGCCCGCTCGCAGGCCCTCGCTCAGCCCGTCGATGGGGGATGCAAACAGGTACCGATACCGCTACTCCCTGGACCTCTCCCTGGATGCGTTCAGACAAGGACTTTGAGGAGAATCTGGCCGTGGCGCCGAGGGCTTCCTGGGAGGCCCAAGGAAGACGAGAAAGACGGAGGAAGGGCAGCGGCTCAGCTGTTCCGATGCGCAACACGCAGCATGTAGCGTGTTGACGCGGAGATCAACACGCATATTGAATACGTAGGTCTGGCGCGATACGTTCGCCAACACGTGGGTCTACACGTGCGTGAGACGTACTCAGCACGGCAAGTGCTGCAACTCAAGACGCGCGTACGTATCAGGACAGCTGAGGGCAGCGGTGACCGGCACCTCTTCCTCCTCTGAATCGATTGGGCGCGACTTCATAGGTGGGGGGGGGAGCGAGGGCTGCAGAAACGAGGCCCTTCAGGGCCCCTAGAGGGGCCCTGAAGGGCCCCAGGCCCTACAGGCGGCTTAGGGGGCCCGAAAAGGGTACCTTTCTCCACCCCCCCCTACCCCTCCCTACACTTATGGCCACCCCATTAATTCGCGCCCAAGTCGAGGGGCCTCGCCTCAGCTTGGGCCCCCGCCCGGGCTGCGGCGTCCCGCGGGGCGGAGGTCTGCTGCCGCGCGGGCGCCCGCCGCGCCAGCGGCAGCTGACGCCCGCGTGGCGCCCATGGACGGCGCGCGGGCGGCCGCGGCTCCCTGGAGGGCCGAGGCGACCTGCGCGGCCTCTGCGCGGTATCCCCGCCCGCGCTCCTCGGACGCCGCCAGCTCGAGCCGCAGCTTCTCTGCGAGCGCGCGCAGCGCCCGGTTCTTCCGGACCAGGTCCCTCAGGGCGCCCTCCTCCTCGTCCTCCTCCTCGGCGGCACGCGAGGCCCGGACCCCCTCGCGTCGTGTGCACGAGTGTCACGGCGGCCTGTGCTTCACGGCGCGAGTCTCGCGAACAAAACAGAGACGCTGGAGATGTGGGAGAGTGGCCTTGCGCGGCCTGCCGATCGCCGCACGCTGCGCGGCAGTGGCGGCCTGCGTGCTTCGGCTTGCCCCTTCCCCCCTCCGCGCCACTCCTGGGTCCTGGGGACCCTACTCGCCCAAATCCTCCGAGATCGACCCGAATCCCCCAAACCGTGCGGCCACCCCAGATGCCCACAGACTCGCCACACGGTGTGGCCACAGCGCCGCTGAGGGGCCCCCGGCCCTCCCCGAAAGCCGCGCACCGAAGGCCGCCCCGGCGAAAGGGCCACTCTGGCGTGCCGCCGATCCTCGGTTCGCGGCCCCCAGAGAGGCCGCTGCTGCCAGCCCAGAACGGCCTCGGCTGGCCAGGCCGCGCCCGGCGAGCGCACCGCGGCCGCGCGCGGCGCGCCCGAGGAGGGCCCGCGCGCCCGCCGCGCCGCGCCGCGCCCGTGCGCGCTGGCCCCGGGCGCCGCGTGGCGCGCGGCGGGGGCGCCCGCGCTCTGGGGACGGCGTGGCCCGCCGTCCCCCGGGCGGCCCTGCGCGTGCGGCCGCTCGGCGGCGGGCGTGGACGCCACCGACCGGCGCGCCGCCGCAGCGGCGCGGCAGGCGCTGGGCGGCGTCGGCGGCTCCGGGGAGGGCTCGCCGGCGGCCTGCCGGCGGCAGCGCCAAGGCGGCGCCGCCGACGCGGGCGGCACGCGGCTCGCGCTCCAGGTGGGCAGCCCGGCGGCTCCGCTCCTCCCAAGATCGAGGGGAAGGCAGGAAGACACAGTGGGATGGGGTCCTCTCTGCGAGGGAGGACGTATGAGGGCGCCATGGCCGTTTCAGGGCGCTCCAGAGCGCTCTGAGGGCGCTCTGGAACACTTTGGAGCGCTCTTCCTCATCCTGAGCACCCCCGGCCTCCCCCAGCACTCGACGGCGCGAAGCAAAGCTCAGCGTCATGGGGGATGAGGGGGACCAGGGCCCGGCCGCGCCTCTCAGCGCGTGGGTGTGCAAAGCCAGATCGCGTCGCGAGGGTCCAAGGGCCCAGTCATCGACACGGAGCGAAGTAACCTGTGGTGGCTTAATTCAAGGCGTCTGTTGGCACGCCCGGAATGGGAACGGAAAACATGTGCACGATGCTCAACAGCAAACGTTGCCTAAAACGGGCAGCGGCCGCTGTTGGGCAGGCGACTTCCTGTCTTGAATGGGCAACAACGGCGGCGACACGGACACCGAACTCTGTTCAAAGTGGGACGTAACTGCTGTTGGTCTTTGTCTCCGTTTTTTCCGTACCCATTTCGATCGTGTCGAGTCTGGGGCAACGAAGCGTTTGAGAGGTTTGCCGAACTTGATATTCGGTGGGCGGGGAGATGCATACGAACCCCGCCACTGGGGCCTTCGGTGGAGCTCCCTCCCTATGGGGCCACGAAAAGTGTGAGGTGTGTGTGTGTGTGTGTTTGCCGAAATGGACATGCGGTGGGCGGGGAGACACATGCGAACCCTGCCTCTGGAGGCTTTCGGTGGAGCTCCATATGGTGCCACGAAGCGCGCGAGGTGCGTGCCGAAATAGACATGCGGTGGGCGGGAAGACGCATGAGAACCCTGTCACTGGGGCTTTCGGTGGAGCATGCGGCCACGTAGCGTGTCATGGGTTTGCCACTGGGGCCTTCGGTGGAGCCCCCTATGGGGCCACGAAGCGTGCGAGGGGTGCGCCGAAATGGACATGCGGTCGGCGGGGAGACGCATGTTCGCCACTGGGGCTTTCGGTGGAGCTCCCTATGTGGCCACGAACCGTCAGGGGTGTGCCGAAATGGATCTGCGGTGGGCGGGGAAACGCATGCGAACCCTGCCACTGGGGCCCAGCACGGACTCAGTTCGCCAGAGTCTCGGTTCGCCGGGGCTCGGTTCGCCGGTGCTTGGTTCGCCAGGGCTTGGTTCGCCAGGGCTCGCTTCGCTGGGGCTGGGTTCGCCCGACTCGACTCGCCCAGCTCAGTTCGCCAGGGCTCGGCTCGCTGGGGCTCGGCTCGCTGGGGCTCGGTTCGCCTGACTCGATTCGTCCGAATCAATTCGCTGGGGCTCGTTTCGCCGGGGCTCGTTTCGCTGGGCCTTGTTTCGCCGGGGTTCGCTTCGCCGGCGCTGCTTTCGCCGACGCCGTC